CCAGCATTATGTAATTAGTATAATAATAATGTCTTGACAACTGCATGCAATAATTGTTTGTCAAGCTACTTTAAAACCTCAACTTACTTAAATAGTAAGCTAGTAATAGTAAATAGTAATATATATAGTAGTAGAGGACATACCGAGGTATAGACCCAGGAGGTGCATGCAGGACAGATATCCTCCATCTTGCCTTCAAGGTGTCAGTGGTCAGTGGTAGTGTTGCTCAAATCTAAGTTGCCATGGGTACTCTATACCACCATAGAGTATTATACTGTATATCAGCCACGCCTTAATTGTTTTGCTGCATGCAGTAAACGTAACCAGCCTCACCCTTTTTGCTGTTTTGCGTCTCTTTTTCTGGTGCATTTCCAGTTGGATCTACAGAAAAGCTTGTTCCTTTGATTAACTAGTGAAGGTTACTCTTACTTTGCAGTACTAGAAAGGATCTTCTCTTCAATTCCTTTTATAAAGTCCTTCTTTCTTTATTGTGATGTATATAAGTGATCACTGAAATCTAATAATGTATACTATATCCACTGATGCACACTCTAATTATAATACTTATGTGTTGTTAAGTAATAGTCATTGTGTAATGGAATGATCCAATTCAGTGAGTACAATAACATTATTCATGATTATTGATGATACACTAGTGATACTTCTCATGATACACTGATACACTCACTGATATACTTCAGTTACACTCACACCCACTCACTTATATTGTACTCTTTGGATCTGAATGAACTACTACTGGAGTATAGTAGTTGCACTTCAAAGGTCAATACCTCCATGTGTCTTTAGAATTCTATCAGTTATTATTGTATTTATTGTTAAGACTGATTCACTGGGCAATTAATATAACGTAAGGCCATATGTTAAGACAGGAAGTGTTGTATAAAGGCAGATTTACAATATTACACTAGGCCAAAGTAACGTCAATTTTTAATCAAAAGCGTAGGCAATTTGACCTTTTGACGCATGCTTCACGCTGGAATTGAACCAGATTCAACTAGCGTAATATTGTAAATCTGCCTCAAACCAATGGCAATCATTTACGTAATGTAAGAGTAAGAGTAGAGATAATTTCTATTCTTATGTTACTTAAACGGTGGCCATTGGTTTATAAAGCACTTCCTGCCTTAATGTATGGCCTCACATTACGTTTATTGTCCAGTGTGAATCAGCCTTAAGACTTGCTTCGTGTATGCATCCACAAACCACAGTAAGGCAGTGTATCAGAAACCACCCTATGCAAATCCACCCTCTGTAATAATATCTGTCCTTTTGGTATGTATCACCCCAATCCACCCTCTCTCCAGTAATAGTGATATTCAGTGTTATTGGTGTGTTCCAGTAACTATTTTCATGAGGTCCTACATACTACACACATACACTGATACACCCATCCTTTATACACTGGTTCATGTAGTACATCTGTAATGCTCAATTTCAGTTTACAGGGAAAGCTTGTTCCTTTGATTGACTAGTGAAGGTTACTCTTACTTTGCAGTACTAGAAAGGATCTTCTCTTCAATTCCTTTTATAAAGACCTTCTTTCTTTATTGTGGTGTAAGTGATCACTGAAATAGCTACACCTTAAGTTACCTAATTCTTTCATCGTCCTCCATACTATAGTACAAGATGATTGATGTCTTTAAATGGAGAGCAAGTATTGGACTGTGGAACTACTGTCAAGCTGGCTCCAGTAGACCAGCTAATGGCCACCACTCTCACTCATTCAAAGCTGCAGTAGACAGCAAGTCAGGCAGTACTACATCGGGAGAAAAGACATCTAAATTGCCAGCAGTTCTGTCTCTTATTGTTTCTCTTCTTTTATCTTTATTAAGATATATGAAGCTCAATTATATTCCTCCAACTGGTAAACAAACTAACAGTAAGGGTCTATGATCATACAGTGTATTTACAATAGGTATAATTACTGTTACTGTTATGATCCACTGCCTCCAGTCATTAGTCTTGTTTATAGCTACTATTGGCAGTAGCTCTGACCTGATCTACTATTTGGTTTTACTTCTCCTCCCCCTCTTATCAGGAGATGTTGAACTCAACCCTGGTCCTATTACAGGTAAAAATACACTTAATACAACATTCATTAACTGATACACTACTGCAGGTAATCCAAAGGATATATTAAGGATTCATTCTGTTAAACTCACTGATGGAATCTCACAAAATCTTGACAAAATAACAACTGAATTACATGCTAAAGGATTGATACCACAACAAGCAGTTGATGACATACTTTTAATGGGAGTTATGACTGATTATACTAAAGCAATGAAATTGATGAGTGTATTACGTGGACAGTTGGAATCCTCTCTTAATCCAGAGCAGTGTCTTATTAATATATGTCATGTATTAATAAACCAACAATATCGTACACTAACAAATGTTGCTACCTCTATATTACACCAGTTAGGTGAGTGTGTGTGTGTGTACATTATCAGTGATCAATATAGTCATTATATCTCAATATATTAGGTCAGCCTATACCTGATAATGTCACATGCATGATAATACCTGACGATGTTCAAGGATATGCTGACAATACGAGACAACACTACAAAGACCAACCTATTGTTGCTACAGACTGGCCACCAAGAATTGGAAAAGATTTCTTTGGAAGACTAGCACTAGTAGAAAAACAAGACTACAGCACACAAGCAGAATCTGCTTTGCATATGCTAAAAGGACAAGTCGATAAAACAGTTCAACTAAATGAAAACAAGGAGATAAGTGTTGAAGATGTCCTTCAACCCACAGATAGTTCTCTGTCTCTCATGAGTAGTAATAGACGGTCCTCCTGGTATCGGCAAGACCACACTCTGTCGTAAACTGTTAAATATGTGGTCTAATGGACCACTTGTACACCAAAAGTATGACTTGGTACTTTACTGTCCTTTAAGGAATAGCAAGATAGCAACAGCTACTACACTAGCTGACCTGTTTGTGCATCACCTTAATAAATATAAAAATGTACCTCAATGGTTTGAGGAGAGGGATGGAGAAGGATTACTGATAATCTTTGATGGTTGGGATGAACTAAGTGAACAACTCAGACAGTCTTCATTAGCTGCTAGTATCATTTGTAAAGAGAAGTTATACCAATGTTCAGTAATTGTTACCTCTCGTAGCTATGCCTCCTCTTCACTTTTAGAGATTATGTCTAATCTTAGTAGACACGTTCAAGTCATTGGGTTTTCTAAGGAAGAAATATCAACAGTAATTATACAAACACTTCAAAAAGATACAAAACTAGCACAAGAAGTCATTGATAAGAAAAAAGATGATGATGAAAATGAGGAACCTTTCACAACTACTCAAAGCAGTAAGGACTCACAACTAGCAGTGAAACTTATTAATGATCTTGAAGTATGAAATGATGTCCAATCATTGTGTTATGTACCACTAGTCTGTTCCATGGTCATCTTAGTTTATTGTAAGGAAGGAGGACACTTACCAACAACACTCACTCAACTGTATCAGAACTTTATCCTACAAACTATCAGAAGACATGTTAAAAGACATGACATTAACCCACACACTTTAGGTAGTATTTCTTCATTACCATCACAATTAGCTAAACCTTACTAGAGATGTGTCAAATAGCTTATACTAACCTGGCTAATACAACAATGACATTCCCTTCACATCAACTACAGTCACTGAGTGAGGCAGTCAAGGAAGACTATCTTGGATTGATGACAACATTCACAGAATATGATGAGGAGAAGTATCAGTTCCTTCACTTGAGTATATAGGAATTTCTAGCTGCATGGTAGATAGCTAAGCATGAGAAGAAGACAGAGGAAGTGTTTAAGGATCACTTTGATGATGATCACTTTCGAATGTGTCTGAGGTTTGTGGCAGGTCTAACTCACCTTGAACATGAGAGCTATCAACAGTATTTTAATAAACAACAACTTGACTTAGAGTGTAAGAGGGAACCATTGTTTAGATTTGAGACTTGTCATCTCTCCTACTTCTATCAGAATTCTGAGGTTAAACGATTTGATCATATCAGTTCTGATGATTTTAACAAAGTTCCCATTCTTCTTCAGCTCCTGTATGAATCACAGAACATAACATTATGTCAAGTATTAGCACAATCCATCAACAACCACTCACTGTGTCTGTTACATAGAGTATACTTATCATTGTTTGACTTGTTGTGTCTCAGTTATTGTATAAACAATTCCAACACAACATGGAATCATTTGCACCTGGGGTGTGTATATGATGACCAGTCACTATCAGTCTTCATTGCTGGACTAACCAATAACTCAATACAGACCCAGTGTAAGAGACTTGAGGTAGAGTTGTATGAACCCACTGATGAATTAATACACAAATTATTACAACCATCACTTTTATACAATATTCAGGAGTGCTACTATGAATTATTAGAAGGTCAATATGCTCCCTGTCTTGCATTGTTACAGTTCCTCAATCTTCCTCAATTGAAAATATTGCACTTAATAATGAACTATCCTACTATACCAACAGTTGACAATACATACTACACAGACAAGTGCACTGAACTTGAGAAATGTATAGAAATGAATTCAACACTACAAGAAATGAAGATTGAGCATGATAAAAAGAATGAAATTACCAGTGTCATTAGAGGAGTAACAAGAAATAAAACAATAACACCATCATAGGCGGTTGCAGGCCTGGGCATTAGGGGGCAATGCCCAGGTTGACTTTTTGACCAATAATTATATTCATGATTCTGGTGTGGGCATCCAGTGTAAACTGTGGTAGTTCAACAGGCTTCTTTGTTGTTTTATGCTAAGAAATCATCTCAATGAAGTTATAGATCAGTATTGTCCATTTTCCTTGCAAAATTGTATGGAACCACACCCACTCCACACCCACTAATTATTGATGCCCAGGTCAAACCAAATTTCTGCAACCGCCCATGAACACCATTAACAATACATGTTGATGATGTTCCTCCTCCTCTACCTGATGGAGTAATAGAGCAGTTACTAAAGGACAACAACACATTACAAGCTCTTTCACTGTACATACCTAATAAACTCCTACCATCATCACTGACACTGAATATAGTAGAGGTGAACATAGTCTCGTGCCCCGCCCCTTCGCTTTTGGAGGAAGGGTCTGGAGACACTCAAGGCTTTTTTGTTGCATGCTGGAATGTAATTAGTGCAGCTGATCATATGACCGGATGCATCCACGTGTTAATTTCACGTGATAGACACACCCCAAGAACA